GAAAAAAGATCACGACGATTCCATCGTGCATCTGGCGCGCCGCATCCACCTTCACACTCTGATGCACAGACGAACACCACCATGACGAAGCCGACCCCACTCCACAAACACGCGAACCCGGCCCCACGCCATGGCGAAACAGCAGCGCTCCCACTGGCGCCGGCATCTCCCCCATTAAACGCCGCCACCCCAGCAGCATCACACAGCCAGAGACCCCGAAGCCCTCCCTTCGCCGCCCCGCCACCAAACCAGACCATGCCTACACAGAGGTTTTCCTGGACAGTCAGTGGGTCAAGCTGGACTCTTATGTGGTGGACGCACCCCTGTTCGCCGCCGCCCAGTCCAAGATCAAACAGCTGGGCTGGGTCCAAGGTTACGGCGTGCACTCCAAGGGCGTCAACGACTGGTGGGCGCCGGCCTCGTGCGGCAGCGGGGGTCTCGCATGTGTTTTGAGGGGGGGGGTTTGAGTGGCGGGCGTGGTCGCACGGGGTGGGATGAGTGCGTTTCTTGAGCATCTCGAAGTTCGATGTGCTAGGTGCGACGGCAAGGGGGGCACCGCGCGCAGGGGAGGAGGGAGGACTGCGCGGCCGGCGGGGCTTGTGGCGAGTATCTGTTGCTGTGCTGCTCTTTGCAGAGCGATTGGAGGTCGCTCGAGGCCGTGCCGTCCCTACTGTGGCACGTCAGAGCGCCTTCCCTGATGAGCCACCGCACGACTTCCGACGCCGCGCCCCCCAGGGACGGCCTCTCCGACTCCTTCTGTCAATACGTTGGGGTCCGCGCTGCCGCAGAGGCGCCGCGCGGCGCGCAAGAGGTGCGCTGGCGGGCGCCGGCCAAGCCCCACGCTCCCTCTGCCCCGCGGCGCCCCACGCATGCGACATCCTGTTTGCTTGTGCAGCTTTGATAACCCCCAGAGCAGTCGTCTAGTGCTCCGCGCAGTGTCAATCAGACCCGAACCCCGCCGGGCCCATCCTGACTTGCGTAGCCAGACTATACTCATGCACTTCATCTCATGCCCTGACAACCGCCGCGCCGCCGGCAGGCCCACCGAGTGGCAGGGGAGCTGCGGCACCAGGGCAAGGCAGGGGTGCACCGCGACATGCCGCAGAGCGACGCAGATTTCGGCGTGGTGGGTTCCCGCCAGCTGGGCTCAGGCGCGCCGCGGAGCGTGCGTTGCCCGCCTGCCTGCTGGATGCCAAGCTGAGAAGAGCGATTTCGTTTATTGGATGCAATAGCATAGGGCGATATGATATGAAGACAATCAATCAAATTTGTGATTTGGCGTCTTGATATGGCCGAGGCGACGCAATTTGACCCAGAGCAATCGGCCACCCAACACCACCCCCGCCGCCCGCCACTGAGAGTTGAATGACCCTCATTTGTGGCAGTTTCAACCATCCACGCCACAGACCCACCATTCCCGCACGCGGGAGTCCTCTCTCATGAAACCGAAGCTGCCAACACCCCGTGTCTTCCCAATACCCAGGGCTCATGAAGTCATCATCCAAACAAGCGTCCCCACCCCACAAACCCACCCTATTCACCCCCTACCCATGCCCCTCTCGACCCTCATACTACCCCAAACTCACCCCACCCACCGTGCCCTGGCCCACCCTGCCCGCCCTGCCCGGGCCCGCAAACAGGTCCAAGACCTGGACGACTTCACGGCCCGCGTGGTCGGGTCGCCCTTCGCGCTGCTTCGCACCGTGAAGTTCCGGGTGCCGTTCTTCTTCCTATCCGCCCTGGTCAACCGCAGGATCCAGGCGGTGCGGAGCGGCAAGTAGGGGTGCATCTTTTCGGTGTCAAGATGTTATTTTCAGGGCGGATACTTTCTTCCTGCTGCTGGTGCCAGGCCGTCGGAAAGGTCGCCCCTGCGAGGGCGGGGATCGCACTGCGCATTGGTGGCCGGCACAGGCAGCTCAGATCAGCTGCGCCAGGCGCGGCGACGGGGGCGCCCGCGCCGGCGGGCAGGGCACCTGCCTCGCTCAAGCAGCCCGGCCGCGCGGAGCCGCCTGCGAGCGGCGTTTGGCCACGTGTTTTGCGGGCTGCTTGCATTCGCGCGCCGGCAGCGCATCAGGGGGCAGTGTGCGTGGAAACAGGGACGCGAGTTGCATAACTTCTTCCGAGGGGTTTCCAGAGCCGCCAACCAGATGAGTGCGATCTGGGTTTGCCCTGCTCCCTGGAATTCTTGGTCGGTGTGGTTGCATGCACTGGTTTCAAAGGCAGCGGCGCGGCCCTGCCCCACCCAAGACCGTGAAGATTCTTTTTCGACTCCATCAACGAGGTCCCAATCCCTGCATATCATGGTCTCACACGGCGCTGGTGGTGCTGTAACTGGCTGGTGAATCTTTGAGAAGGAGCTCAACGTGCTCATGGCGGCCCGGCGGTTTGGCCGGCTTGGTCAGTGCACATTGCAACACAGGCTCTCGGGCTTCCACCAGTGCCTGTGGCCTGGGACGGCGGTGTACGTCGCGGTATGTAATGCAATAGCCTCTGCTACCCGCCTGTGCAGTCCGTGCCGGTGGCCTCGTAGCGGTTCTTGCAAGCGCTTCCGCAACTACCTCGTTTCCAAAGGCCACTGTCGGCTCCTCGGCACACCCACAGCACACGGCACCCCATAGCACGCACTGCGAGCGTGCCCAAACCCCCCACAAGGAAGTGCAGCAAAGTGATGTGGGTTGTAGATGCCACTTTTGCTGCTGCTGCGTTTTACTAGCGACATCGATCCGTTCAATCTGGACTCGCGACCCGCGTGACTGCACGTGGTCCACGGGGCAGCGGACTCCGCTCGGCTCGACGCGATGACTCAAAAAAGCAGGCTCGTTGGCTCGGAACAGGTGCGCGTAGCGTCCAGGTTGCATGCTGCTGTGCAACATGGTGGAATGTCAGAGCGCCCGGCGCTGCTCTCCAACGAGTCGTCGTTGCCGGGTGGCGCTCCCGCCGCACTCATCTCTAGCGCCTTGGGCGCTGCACCCCACTCCTAGGCTGCCGCTGTTCCCAGGATTGATGCCTTTGGCACCAGCAGTGAGGGCGGGAGCAGCCACGGTCCCGGCCAGCAGGCGAGTCGCCCGGCCGCTTTGGGCCATCAAGGCTGCAATGCCGAGTGCATGCACACAATTATACATCAAGTCGCCCTCTACCCTCCCCCTCCCCTGAACTTGCCCCATGCACATATACAAACTGGTTTCCACCCATATCTAGTGGACCAGCGCTTCCTCTTTGCAGCAAAATGGTTTGCTGCATACAGCCCTTCCGCAAGCGGCCTGCCTCAGGTTCCCAACCGCTATCTGTGCGCAGGGCGGCGCCACAACAACAGCAGCTGCCGCAATGTCGAAGCACGCCTACTCGCTAAAAGCTTCGTGCGACGCCGCAGCCGCGGCGGCCGCCTTCTCCAAGGACCCCGAGGCACAGCTTCCCCTCGACTTCCCGCAGCCGCACCACGGCGGCTGCAACGGCCACTCCCCCTGCAACGGCCTCGGACACAGCCACGGCCTCGGCGGCTTTAGGGCGCACCCGCCACCAACCTCCGAGCCACGCGGCAGGCCCCTCATCCTGTCGCCGCCAGAGACCTACGCTGAATGCGCGCGCCATGGTGCGCGAGCCCCAGGATTAGGCCGCCCCCCGCACCCGCTAAAGCGGCCGCGCTGCCCGGGAGCTACTCGGGCTCCCCGGATTGCGCACCCCTGCGGCGCACTCCTGCCTCGGCTAACCTGGTCCAGCCCTCAGGACTGTCTGCCCTCCTTCCATTTGCCTGCGGAAGCGCCCCTCCCTGAGGCGCGCCGCATGCGCCCCGTTTCCCACCTACAACCTGTGCCTCACGACAGGAGGCCTAAAACCTCGCAGCCACCGCAGACCACCTGGCACGCTATCCACTAACAGCTGGTGTTCCTCACGCATGACGCGCCCGCGGCTGGCTTGCCCCTTGCAACACATCCTAGGCGAGGAGAAGGCCCGGCTGGGCTGGCTGAAGCTGGCCATGCTGACTGTCATCGCCGGCTGCTACGTCGGTTTTGGCTTCTCAATCTGCCTGCTGGTGCGGGCATTGGATGACACCCGCTCCAGCCCTCCTGGTTGATGGCCCGCACCTCTCAATCGGCTGCCGGTGGAATTGCTTGGCCCTCTTCACATGCATGGCAGTGCATGGACGGGCCAGAGGCGGGCAATTATCATTGTGGGTTCCCCTCTGCTCGTCTGCGACGCGCATCCCCTTGGTTCACCAATCCGCAACCTACGACGCGCACTGCTGCGTTCCCTTTATCCTCCAAAGCACATCCAGCCCTGCTTGCTCGTCCTGCGCTATCACAACGCATTTCATCCCCGCAAATCACCAGATCGGCGGCAACATTGGGATGGACATCCTGAAGGAGCGCCCCGGGCTTTTCAACCTCGTCTTTGGCGCCATCGGCTTCCCCACAGGTCGGGCCTGGCATGGAGCATCTGAACCAGCACTGTAATGCCAGTAAAGCATGTGCAGGCCTCTTGTCTTGCCTGGTTGACCTGAGATATTAGCAGCGACAGATCCACCAGCACTGCTTGTTTGCAGGGCGGGTTCTTTTGCTTTCCGCCACCAGCTTGCAGCCGCTGGGTTTGACCTGGTCAAACACCACAAGCGCACGCCTGCCCCGACCCCATTGGGCCCCCGTGAATACAAATTGAAAACATTGGCAGGCTTCACTTTCATCGTAATCTGCGGCGGCGAGCTGTTCACCAGCCTGTGCGCGTATATGGCCGCCGCGTGGTGGGAGGGCCGCGCCACGGCGGGCGCCTGCATCAGGTGGGAGTGTCCGCCTATATTCCTATGCACGACAGAGCGACGCGCTGTGCGGCCGGCCCCTTGTACGCAGCCCTACGCCATCCCCCCCATGTAAATGCTGCAGGCGCGGACTCGCTGTGTTGTCCGACAACACAGGGCGTCTGTGGCGCAGCTCCAACATCCTGTGTGCACACCACCTTGAGTGCTGCAGTTGCCTGCATCCCTCACCTTCTTGCCCCGCTCAACACAAGCAGCTTGTGTTGCGGATCAGAGCGCTGCAACACCGACACCCCGCCTTCCATCCTCCACAGGTTGTGGGTCGTGTCATGGGTCGGCAACTTTGTTGGCACGGCCATATTCGTCGGCCTCATGGTGGCCTCTGGGGCGTTTGATGGGAAGGATGCTTACGCGATGATCCTGGCCACCAAGAAGGTGGGGAGAAGCTGCCCGGGCGGAGGCTGAGGACGTTTGTTTTGGACTGTACTGTGATAGCAAGTCGGGGAACGAGTATTTCACAAACCCAACAACAGTGTGCTGGCCAGTAAAGGCGGCATGCAGGTGGGGCTGCAGAATCAGCAGAACCTGCTCAATCTGTTGTGCGTGTGATGCATTTGAGGGAGAAGGGCTGGCTGATTGATGGCAGTAAGTGATCTCCTTCTGAGTCGCAAGCATGCTTTATTGTCAAGGTGGCAGCCCGTTTTGCATTAAGACTGAGCAGTCAGCGATGCAGCTGGTTGAAGGGCCACCGCACAAATGGCTCGCCTCCTTTCTCTGACACCCACGCTCTCCTGCACCACACCCGCCCAGACCCACCACGGCTTTGGCGCTTGCTTTGTGCTGGGGGTGCTGTGCAACTGGCTGGTTTGCATCGCAACGTGGCAGGCCAACGCCGCGCAGGACATGACCGGAAAGTTCATCGCCATCTGGTGAGTCGCGGCCCAACATTTCTGTTTGAACAGTCAAATTTCGCACTAGAATTCTGAAACTGCTGCGTCCCTGCGTGGGTTCCTCTACCTAAATTGGTCCAGACCTCAATGACATGTCCGCTGATTCGGCGCCTACACACACGTGGCCGACTCAGAACGACACCCTAGCTTTGCATCCCTACCTGCGCCCTAACCGCTCACCCTCGCCAAAACACCAAACCCTGCCCTCACAATCCCCAGGCTGCCCATCAGCGCCTTTGTCATGCTGGGCTGCGAACACATCGTCGCAGGTGGGCGATGATGACAGTTGCATGCAGTCCTTGCCCCTGGCTCAGGAGACCCACCGCGTGCAAAGCACACCCATCATGGTGCCGGCAGGGAGTTGCTGCCGCAACACCCTGGTCTTTATCTGAATGCCTTGTGCATGTCGCGTCTTGGGCAAGCGGGACAGGCCCTCAAAGGCCGTGTCGTGGCACGTGCCTTCGTTCTTGCAGAGGAGCACCTGGCGCCACGCCACCGCGCTGTAAATCTTGTCCCCCTCCCTTCGCAACTGAGCCCGCTCACCCTTGGCAGCCGCGCTGCTGCTGCCACACTATTCTTCCCTCTGATCTATCCTGCCCATTTGCTGCCCCCTCCCCACGCACACACACTCACACGCAACCAACCACTCCCTGCAACCGCAGACATGTACCTGCTGCCCCTCTCCATCGCCCTGGGCCACCCCAGCCTGACTGCGTTTGACGTAGCAATAGGCACCCTCCTGCCCACCACCCTCGGGAATTGGTTCGGCGGCGCCGTCTGCGTCGCCACCGTCTACGCGTTTGCTTACGGCACCCCCAACAAGACGGTGACAGAGTGGGCGGCACGCAAGGCTCGCAGGGATGGTGCAGATGGGGGTGTGTCGAAGGGCGGCGCCGGCTTCAAGGCGGATGGCTTTGCCAACCCGCAGCTGAGAGTGTAAGCGGACTCCGCGCATCCCTGCATTCTGCACCCCCAGCCCCGCCTCTCACGCCGCCGCACCGGCGGCGTGGGTGCGCGGCGGACAAGGTGTGATCCGCCGTCCGCGGCTCCCAGCGCCGCGTGTCGCGCTGCAGTTGACCCGTTTTGACCAGTCCTCGCCCTACCACTTTGCAGTCTTTTGTAGATAAACTGACCTCACTGAGGTCTTACAGGGCAACCCCGATGCGGCCGCCTGTCACAGCGGACTGGCATCGAGGCGGTCACCCTGTGTACATTTTCTCTCGGCATCACATGTTTTCACTCTCGGGCTTCGTGTTGCTGTGCCGGCTCTTTTACAGGCATCGCAGCAAAACGGCCGCCGCGCTGTGTTGTCAACAACCGACCACATTGCTTGTTCGCCCCGCGTCGCATGACGCGCGCCAGCCCACTACTGCAAGTGGGCTCTCATTGAGAGAGGCACACTCGGCCCTACGCTCAGTCTGCCTGTTTGTGTTTCAGGTGGCTAGCTTCGCTGCGCTGTGCGTGTGAGGCCACACGCAGCATGCTCTGTTTGTACAGTGTTCGGCTCCATGCCTGTTGAACAACCGCTAGCGGATGTACTCGGGTGTGGCGAGAGATCGAGGTGTGCAAAGTGAGCACAGTCCGCCAGGCATCTGCCGGACAAGAATTGTCAAAATGTGGCAAGGTGCAAGAGCACATGCCTGACGCTTTTCGTCGCCCCGTGCCGCTCCATGCGTCTGCCACCCCTTTCGAGGCAGGCTCGCGCACCAGCACGCACGCTGCAGCTTTGGTTGATCGCCCGCAGTTGCACTACGGCTCCCAAGTGCTTTAGGCGGGCACGCACATTGTGTCTTGCTGCTGGGTTGGCAACCCCTTGTGGCTGTTGACCTGTTCGGCGCCCCCATGCACAATCGATGCCAGCTAGCGCCGCCTCACATAATAATGAGGTCAGCTGGCACCTGCAGGCCTCACAATTTTCCCCCTTTTGCGTGATATGCCGCAGAGCTGCATGCCTGCCCTCTTTTCACCCCACCAGGCCGTGGTTGTATGGCCCATCCACCCCCTAGAGCAAGGAGGCGTTGTAGGGGACACGCAGCACATATACAGCAGGCAACCGCCCGGCTGTACCCACGGTTTCCACAGACTTCTTGTTGTCACCTCGAGATTCTGGCTTGCATGCCCGACTTGCGCCACCCACCAGCTAATTCTGACCAGACCCGGGCCGGCGGGCACGGCGCTCCGCGCCACTTCGCAGCATTTGTCTGGTGGAAGCGGCGGCAGCGCTGCATGCATGCACCTGCAGCTCTCAATTGCCTGCACGAGGAGAGGTCCCAGGAGGCCCCGACCGAACCCATCATACATACTTCTGTGATGCGGTTGGCGCTGCCAGCCAGCGTGGCTGGCCGTTGTGCGTTCAGCTGCTCTCACAGGTTCAGTTTATGGGTGACATCAGGTACAACGCACGCATATACATGCATAGTGCGATCTGATTGCAGTTGTTGCTTGATCCAATTCTTTTGGCCCAGCACATGATCAACAAAATTGTCAGTTTTAGGGCTTGCAATGTGTGTGATTGTCACGTGTGAGCAGTGATTTTCCTGGTTGCATGCTCGCCAAGGATGATGTAAACCAGCCGGATGATTGACCCGTTGGCAAAGCATAGCTGATGGTCAATAAAAATATGAAGCCGATTATTGACACAGAATAATGTGTGTACGCACGCACAGCAAATTGCGACACAGCACCCCTGCACTGTGGATTACACATTGCATACTGCAACTGTCGTCATGCTGCAGGCGCAGCAGGGTGGGGTCTGAGGCCAGGCTGCCCGATGCAGTAATACAGCCACGTACGACTCATGACCCCCACAGTTGACTCCAATGTCTGGCATGCGCTCTGCTGGCAATAATCAAACACAGACAAGCCCCGACACCCAGTGTAATACTACTGATGACATAATCATAAATGAGTCATTCAGACCATCTACCCCTGCAGCGCCACTGAGGTTGACACAGCTCAGCAAGGCCTACAGCTGGCAGACATCAGAAACCCAGCAGCTGGACAGACCCCGACCTTGCCATGCAAGCCTGTTGTAGACCCCAATGCCTAGGGCTGGCAGCACCTTTCCTTTCCCACCTGTAAGGAGTGGCAGCAGCCATCCAAGCCGACCCGCTCGCCTGCAAGGCGTTTGGGCAAAGCGATTGTGTTGCCGCAGCTGCGGTTCACACACTCGCTGCCACGCATGGGCTTCACGCGTACCATACGATAGGACATGCAAGCTCCCACCTTGGCTGATGAGAACCAACGCACTCAAACCAGCTGCAGCCAAGCAACACGGATTCGGCCCGCCATGCAGGGTTCTGGCTCACAATTTGGTGAGCCAAGCAATAAGAATCTCGGCTCACCAAACGAGAGGACTAGGAAAACGCAAACCAGCCACAGCATACTGCAACTTAATTATATTCGGCTGTCAAGGCAATTTTGTGTGCGAGCATGTCTTGTTTGGTCCCGATGTCGCCCCTCAACACTGTCCATCACATCATCCCACTCTTGGTTGACCAGCTTTCGCCTGCCTGCAAAATAGGCGCGACGTATACGCATGGTTCAAGCTTGAATAGCAGACCCCCGCGCAGGTAAGAGCACAGTGCTATATGGTCTTGCAGCTTCATACGAGCTTCAAGCAAAATGAGCGGCTGCATTGCAAGGGCTACCTTGGACAGACTGGGGTTTCAGAGCAACCGCCTGCGAAGCTGGTGGTGAATCGCGCTTTGTCCAGCGACACTTCACAAAAGATGCAATTAAAAATCTGTGTTTACTCATGCATTTGTTCTAGGTCTGTCGACAGTCATAAGTTCGAAGGCGGCTGCGCGAGATTCGCACGTCGTCCACGAAGCTCGCCTGCAACGACCGAGCTGTGAACAGGCTCAAACACGGCTTGATTAAATGTAAGTCACACGATGGCGTGTGGCGCGGCAGGACGGCATGCTTAGCACTGCTTCCAAACTAACGAGTCGCCCTACGGTACGGTACACCGCCTTGGGCGCTGCACCCTGAATTCGCAGCCTGCTGGTCGTAGGGCGGTGACAGCACTACTACCAGCAAACTATCTTCTTAGCCCGTCTCTTCCCGCCCTGCCCCTCTCGTCACCATCAAAACTTCCGCAAATCTTCCCGGCTCGCTCCCTCACTAACTACCTTGGTTGCAACCAATTGGTGCGACCATTTGGGGGCTGGGTCAGCCTGAATCCTGCAATCTAATCTCTCCAATCACGCCTTCACCTTGTACGCAGGCCACTGCACCCTGCAGCAACACCAGGGATTGGCCCAATGCACTCCAAATCTGTTCGGGCTTCACATGGCGCCACAGTCTCTAAGGCTGCAGAGCCTCAGCTGCCGCCCTGCCTCGCGCCACCGCACCACCGGCACAGCAACTGTTGCTGTGGCAGTGACTGCCATGGCTGCCGCCACAGCAGCTTCACGATACAATCACCACTGTTGGACAGGCCCCGCAGAGGGGCGCTCATCCTTTCACCACAAGAGATTTACACCCATTACGCACGCCGAGGTGATGGGGCGCGGCTGCGCCCTGGCTGGCGCCCATGACCTCCCCTGAGCCTGCACACTTGCTTGAGTACAATTGCACTCTAGTTCTGTGAGCTCGCACAATGATTCGCCCCCACCCCACCCAAGCCACAACAGGGGGACACCTGCTGTGCTTGCGGCTGCGCCCCCTGTCAATTTGTGATATATCTATATAGGGGCTGCCACAATTCTTTGTTGGGGCTGCGGCGGCGGTGGCAGCACCATCAGCTGACGCCCTACGCCATGCCTATCAATGCAAGCCAACCAAAACTCTGAGCGACCTCAGCGTGCTGACTGGCAACTTGCAGGCGAGGAGAAGGCCCGCCACAGCATGCTGAAGCTGGTCATGCTGGCAGTGATCGCCGGCTGCTACGTTGGGTTTGGCTTTTCAATCACCCTGCTGGTGCGCTGTCACGCGTTTCTGAGCAGATCGCGCCTCAGCTGCTGCCTACTAGCCTGGTCAATGTCTGGATTCACACCCATGCGAGTGGCAGGGGAGCTGGGTTGCTTGAGCATTTGCATACCCGGCCCCCTTGGGCCAGAGCACGCGGGCTTTCGAAACCTGTGCAGAGGTCAAGGCCGCCGGTACACGCGTGCGTGCATGTGCTGCCACTACGACCACCTGCATCACGCCAACCACGCCAACAATCATGTATCAGCGCAATTTAGAAGCTCTGGCTATCGACCGCCACCCCGCGGTTGCCCCATTGTTTGCGTTGAATCTCAGTCATTGCATCATTCGCCGCCCCCACCTTTCCCAGATCGGCGGCAACATTGGCATGGACATCCTGCAGCAGCGCCCCGGCTTGTTCAACCTCGTCTTGGGCTACCCCACAGGTCTGTCCGCTGGAAAAACTACGGGTGTCTGCTGGCAGGTTTGGCCTGCTGTCAGCTCTCTGTTGACCATATTGACCCGCTTTGGTATACGCATGCACAGCCTCAACATCCTCACTATTGCACACTTGGGCTGGGCGTTCCCCCTTCAAAACGGGGATTTGTTTGGTTGTGCAGGAGTCCGGGCAAATTCCCAGTTTTGTGGAGTATTAGGCTTGCCAACAACCACCAAACAGACCTCATTACAAGCCACTCCCAACCACGGCTCCTTCCCTCGCATTCCCTGCCCTCAATACCCCCTCCCCCCATCCAACGATCAGCAGCCTTCACCTTCATCTTCATCTGCGGCGGCGAGCTGTTCTCCAGCAACTGCGCCTACATGGCCACAGCCTGGTGGGAGGGCCGCGCCACGGCCCTTGACTGCATCAGGTGGGAATGTCCCCCAACAGGCAGTACTGTACGTAACACATTGCTTTGAAAGTGTTGGGCTGCTTTGCGGCCGTTGGGCCCTCAGGCGCCTATTGCGTGCCCCAGTTTCGCCCTTGCAATCGCGAATGGTGACGCTCTGTGGCGACCCTGTCTGTTGAAAGTGCTGCGCTTCTGAGAGGGACCACTTCGCCTACGGTACCTTGCCGCACCACCTGCTGAATGCCGCTCCTTGGGCTCTTTGCCTCTGGCTCAACCGTCACCCTCCCCCCTGCCGGCAGGCTGTGGGTGACGTCCTGGGTCGGCAATTTCGTGGGCACCGCCACCTTTGTGGCCTTGATGGTGGTGTCTGGGGCGTTTGACGGGCGAGACGCGTACACCATCTTCTTGGGCACCAGGAAGGTGAGACGGTGCAGCCAGCACGGGCTTACACAACATGACCACTGAACCCCAAATAATGAAAGCGAGTCTGCTTGACAGGAATTTTTGGCTGCTTTAAATGAATACACAATTTGACATTACAAAAGTGAATGTGGTGGAAACCTGCCCATGTACAATTTGAGGTGGAAGTCATCCTTGTGCAGCGCCGCCTCCCACCAGCTAGCTGATGGAAGGCCTGCTGCTCCTGCGCTTGGGCAGGTACGTAGCTCATGCAATAACTGCTATTCACATCTGCCCAACGATCTAAACATCACCCGCCATGAACCTCTGGGCCCCACCCTCTAAGGCTCACCACAGCTTTGGCGGGTGCTTTGTGCTAGGCGTGCTGTGCAACTGGCTGGTCTGCATTGCCTCGTGGCAGGCCAACGCGGCGCGAGACATGACCGGAAAGTTTTTTGCAATTTGGTGAGCATGGGGTTGCAATGTGAACACCAGAGATGTGGGCACCATTATGATATTGCAAAATTATGCGTGTGCATTTGCTTGAACGTGACACATGCGCGTGAGAGACAAGGACCTGAGCATCACAACCTGCACACACATTCGGCACTGGCCTGCGTAAGACCAACAAGCACATGTGGTGGTGTACACCACCGTCGCTGCCGCCGCCGCCACCACCATCACCACCACCACCACCACCACCACCACCACCACCACCACCACCACCTACCCTGTGACCACTGCACAGCCTGCCCGTCAGCGCTTTCGTCATGCTGGGCTGCGAGCACGTCGTTGCAGGTGCATGCATAAGCTCATCAGCTTTTGCTGTCTCGCTTGCTTGGTCACATCCACGAAATTGCTGATCCCGGCTCATGCAGCCTAAATCTATTTCTGACCCAGCCTCATCCTGGTGTTGCTACAGCCTGCCCGTGCCGGCGGCGCATGTTGACCCCGGCAGTCCCTCAAACGTGACGGGTCCCTGCATTGAGCTTGTTGCAATCCTGGTGCCTTCGCCCCCCCCCCCACTTGGGAGAGCAAGTCATCATATATCACTGCCCCACCACTAATTCAGTTATGTCCCCCTTCTTCCCTGCGCAAACTCCTTGCAATCGCAGACATGTACCTCCTGCCCCTTGCGATTGCCCTGGGCCACCCCAGCCTGACTGCATACGACCTGGCGGTTGGCACCCTGCTGCCCACCACCCTCGGCAACTGGTTCGGCGGCGCCGTCTGCGTCGCCACCGTCTACGCACTTGCTTATGGCACCCCCAACAAGACGGTGACAGAGTGGGCGGCACGCAAGGGGACCAGCGCGTCGCCTGCACGAGGACCCACCAATGGCGACGACTTTGCCCCGCAGCTGGGTGCGTGAACGGTCTGCACGAGTCTGACGGCTCGGCCGTTCAGCCAGCTCTCCCCCTGCATAAGCTGCGCAACAGCAGCCCTGGGCGGCCGGGCAGTTGATGGCAGGCCGCACGTGCGCACCGGTTGCTAGCGTTAGCTGGCGCGCAGCAATGGCAAAGGCAGCGGCGTCTGGCTGCATCGGGCCTCAGCCCGCTAACAAAAAACCCGTGTGTTATTTTGCAGCCTTTGTCTCATTTATCGCTGCGCTTCTTCTCCTTTATAATTTGATCTTCAATCAATAAAACAGGGTTCACTCACTTGCGCTTGGCCCAGTTGCATTCGGCCCACAGGGCACTTCAATTAGAGTCTGATGTCATCACGGTCTGGCGTTGAGGGCACTTCCATCGCCCTGATTTTGCCAGCTTTGGCAGCAGGTGTTGCGAAATGCTGACTCGACTTCCTGCCACAGGGCTTTGCCTGGGTGGCTGAGCCCATGCCTGGTCAGCCACCCACAATCTTGCCAATAACGCAAGCACGCCACACCTGCGCACACGTGCGCACGCGTGCAATTGCAACTGCTTGCAAACCCCAGGTGCCCCAGCAGTGACCTCAGGATCTAGCTGCAACCGTTTTTGACTGCTCATACCTCACCCCCTGTACGCAAACCAGGCCTAATTGATTGTCTTCCCTTCAAATGTTTTGGCCTCAGCCGCGTGCAAACAAGAATTATTTGCTTAAGTTCATCAACAGGCAATCATTGAAGCCTAAAGCACGTAGGTAGAAGTAGCAAAATAATTGCCTTGTCTCACTGACATACGCAGTCACTCGTTTTTAATCAAGGTTGCATCGATGCAGCCGCGCGTGCCCGCCGACCTACCCCTCCACACGTGGTGCCGCTAGTGCAGCGGAATCTTAGCGCGCAAGGTTGCGGGCGGTTGCCTCATGCCCCTTTTGCCTTCGCCTCAAACAATGTGTTGCACCCGCTGGTCCGCAAAAGGGGATTCAGACGCACTGTGCAAGTGCTGATGAGCGAGCCGTGCTGCTTGCTCATCATCTGCCTCGCCGCGGCCGCACGCTGCCCAAGCGCCGACCGCGTCTGCAGAATGTTGACCCAGCTGTCCAATCCTTTCACAGTGGGTTGATTGTAAAATCTGTGCCATCAGGAATCAAAGTGCCATGATATCCTTGCCAAATGAGGTTGGTCAATTGGATTCGTGATTGCAAGATTTGCCCGCTGTCTGTGCCAGACGCCACCCAGGCACCCGCACGGTGCAGCCCTCGGCACCGGTAGATTGTAAATGATCTGACCGGCGGCGCTTGAGTACAATAAATATATCGCTGCTGCCCTGCGCTGTCCTGCAACAATGAGCACCAGAGTTTCAGCCGGCTTTTTCTTGGTGATGACGAAACACCGTGTCATTCCTGCAGCACGGGCGCACACTTGCTATCAGCGGCGCTTGTGGCGGCAACGTGCAGTAAGAGTGCAAGCCATGCCGCACGGCAAATGTCCACTACCCTTGCGCAGCCCTGCAATGTTTAACAAGGCTTGCAGCATCAACGTTGATGCTGAAGACCTCCCTGAGAGGAAAGGGATGACGAGTCGCCCCCAACTGGGGTACAATGCAATCAATCGACCCAAGCCAAAACAGCAGGAATACATACAGCTACAGCTTCATACCAGATTTGCACATCCACTACCTGAGCACCTGCCTCCATGCCAAGGTAGGGCTACCTTGGAGCCGAGGGGGCACCCACCAAGTAACAGCAACCGACTGATATGCCGGCAGTGCGTTGCACAGCCTTTACAGACCCCCCCCGATGGACTGAAATGAAGCGTTGTAATTCAAGTGTTTCTTCTAGGATATTCTTCCCTGTCGACAGACACTGAGACGGTTCCGTCCCAGGGTGGTCGCGCGGTCTGCGTGTGACCCAAAAACGAAGCTCGTCGTCTGGTGGGCTCGAACGAACCTGGCAAACACTCCAAGCTGTTCCAGTGGTGCGCGGCATCAGGGGATTGCATGTCCGGTGTTGCTTCCCGATGAGTCGGCCGCCACGTGTACCCGCGCTGGCACACGTACTTCTGCAGGCTCCCAACGCCTTGCTTGAGTGCTGCACCCCTGAGCTTTGGAGGCTGCTTTTACAGAAGTCAATGAGCTTGGCAGCGGCAGCAAGGGTGGCATCAGTCATGGCAGGCCAAAAGGCCACCTGCACGTGCTACCGTTTGGGAAAGAACTTAGCGTGAAGGCGGCAGCACCGCTCAGTGTGTTCGCACGGCGCCACTTCCCACGCCTTGCAATGCAGCTAGCTTGCACAATCACTTTTGCTAGAAGCTATATCAACGCCAGCGCCGCGCTTCCGACGGCCCCGTCGCTCCACTCACAAAGCACCTCGCTTATTCTCATAATCGTTCATCTTGCATGCACACCCGTGCGCAGGCCCCCCCTCGGCCCTCAAGCCGCTGAAGTAGCCGGGTCAATGTTCTCCCAGCAATTTACGGACGCCTCTTGTGGCGCAGCTGCCACCGCAGCCGCGGCCTCCAAGGACCCGGCGGGGCAACTTCCGCCCTTCTTCCTGCGGCCGCACCGCGCACATGGCCAGCGCCACATGCATCAGGGTGGGGCCTATGGCAAGCACCCTCCATCAACAGCAGGGGCCGGCCCCGGCGGTGGCAAGCACCTCATTCTTTCACCAACAGATACCTACGCACAGTACGCTAGCCGTGGTGAGCAAAGGCGTGGATGCAGGGCCAGAACCTTCCCTTAATGGGATGCATGCTGCCGCGGTCAAGGCCGTCACCCCTTGCCCCAGCTGCCGACATCTGCAGACAGCATTTTTTACCCTGCACATTGCTTTTGTGCACTCATAATGGAATTCATAATTAAGCAACCCCTGCTCGTGTCGAGCAGCACAGATGCTGAGGCGAGTGCGTGCACCCTCAACCCCCAACGATTTACTGTCTGTGGTTTAAGGGTACAGACCTGTTCGCATCCTCTGCCATCATCACCAATGCGTACTGCTGCCATGGCAATCCGCCCGAACTTTGCAGGCGAGGAGAAGGCCCGCATGGGGTGGCTCAGGCTGGTCACTCTGAGCTTCATCACCGGCTGCTACATTGGGCTGGGGTTACCAATCACCCTGCTGGTGCGCATTGATGCATTCATGCATATAATCTGAGCGCTGCGACTAAGTCTCGTTCCCCTGACCAACGCGGTGTGGTTGCCCCTGACGGGTTGCTTCAGCGCCGTGCTTGCATACAGAAGGCGATTTTGCGGCGCTGCTGCCTGCGCCTTGCGTGCGTGAGTGTTTACTACAGCTGCAAGCAGCTGTGGGCTAGTCACGCAATCACTGGGCGCGGAACACGCCACACACCCCTCATGCTGCATCACATACCCAGGAACCTCAGAGCCAGTCCTGCATGCTTCCGCTTGCTTGTCGCATCCAGTCGCACCTTGTTCTTGTTTCTCCCCGCCTCCGTCGCAGGTCAGCGGCAACATCGGGCTGGACATTCTTCAGGAGCGCCCTGGGCTGTTTTACCTCGTCCTGGGCTACCCAACAAGTTGAGCGCCATGAACCGGGTCGCCTCACCTCATGCATTGTGCATGCACAGGAATACACGATGGCGGGGGCGCCACTGGCCCCATGCACTCATACGAGGTCTGCGCTGGGTCCATATACAACATTCACCCAGTGGTTCAGCCAACAACCAACACTGAAACGCGCCCGTGCTGGACCCCACTTGCCACGATGACAGCCTTCACTTTCATCTTCATCTGTGGCGGGGAGCTGTTCTCCAGCAACTGCGCCTACATGGCCGCCGCCTGGTGGGAGGGCCGCGCCACGGCCCTTGACTGCATCAGGTGGGAGCTCCACGAGTGCATCGGGTGGGGCCCATGGTTCAGGATTTAGAATTTTGGTCGACTTTATATTCTGGATGGGAAGCGCGAGGGTCGATGACAGCAATCATCCAGGGTACAGGGGTAGTGGTGTCCAGCCGTACACCTGCAGGCCATCAGGATGGAGACCTCCCCCAAAAAACCAAAGTGAGGATCTCAGAGGCCAACCATTGTTGCCACCCTGAAAGTTGCTGCGCGCCCCCAACCCCCACCTCGTGTGCTCCTTGCGCGCCCCCGCCCGCCCGCACGTCAGGCATTGGGTGGTGTCGTGGTCGGGCAACTTTGCGGGCACGATTGTGATTGTGGGCCTGATGGCGGCGTCGGAGATGTTCCAGGGTATGGATGGGTTCACCATGATCCTGGTCGCTAGAAAGGTGGGTCATGATTCCTGGGCAAGTCGGGCTGAGACATCCTGACATGTACACGCTTGCTGACAGAGATAGCAGAATGTGTGGATTTTTTATGCCCTGGTGACGTCAGTCAATAATGCTCAGAAAATAAAAAAAAATCAATTTAAAAACACAAAACACATTCGGTATGATCCATTCGGTTTGATTGCATCATCGGCGGACCGATGCCAGAGCAATCATACTCTGCCAGAAAAGCACCGCGTCACCCATGAACAATCGCCCACGCAGACACACCGCAGCTTTGGCGCATGCGTCGTGCTGGGCCTGCTGTGCAACTGGCTGCTGTGCATCGCCGTGTGGCTGGCCATCGCAGCTCAGGACGCACCGGGGAGAATCATTGGCGTGTGGTGAGTTAGGGCTGGTGTTGCACTTTGACCAGCGGGGCCCTAACGGAGACCTGAGAGTGGGGATTGAAACATCTGCAGGCATTGTCTACAGTCTGCCAGACCGTAGACAAGCAGTGCTATCCTGTACAAATGTAATCGTTACCTGCACAGGGGCCAGCAGCTGGGACAAAACTCCCTGCTGTTGCCTGCTGAGTGAGACCCAACTCTGGAATAATGGCTAGGATATGCCAGCAGGCCGCAGTGCCATGTTATGAGACTCCTCTTTCTGGAATGATGCTTATAAACACCTGGGTGCCACCTATGCGATGGCAGTGATGCTATGGTATGAGTAACTTATCTATCTATCTATCTATCTATGCTAGGCTCTGTGCTACAGTCGGTCTGAGACACTCTGCCACTCACCGCACACTCAATACATACTCACCACCTACTCGTGACACACCCGCCACCACCAACCTCCGCCCACTTCACAGCATGCCCGTCTGCGCTTTCGTCATGCTGGGCTGCGAACACGTTGTTGCAAGTGGGTCGCTGCTGCCCCCGCTGTGTGTGCCGTCCGTGCTTGAATACCTTGCCCGCCCTTCTGCAAAGTGCTGTGTTGCGTTCCAGCCCTGACCTACTGCTGCAGTTGCTTAAGCTCAGTTGTCTCCGCACTGCCTGGCACCTCCCTGGACGCCGCATCATCCATGCATCAACACACACCATGCATGGGCGCGGCATTTTGCACAGTCCCATACTATACCCCAGCCAGGCGTCTGTCCCATGCCCCCCACACTGTCAGCCTTCCTCCGCCAGAAACCTACGCACTCACCCCTTCACGTTCACGCAACCATCCGTTTGCAGACATGTACCTGCTGCCCCTGGCCATTGTCGTGGGCCACCCGAGCCTAACTGCACGCGACCTGGCGGTGGGCATCCTGCTGCCCACCACCCTCGGGAATTGGTTTGGCGGTGCTGTCTGCGTCCCCACCTTCTACGCATTTGTTTACGGCACCCCCAACAAGACGTTGACAGAGTGGGCGGCACGCAAGCGTCGTGCATTCCTTCAAGGGAGGGCCGGCACGGGGACAAGAGGCTGCGGCCGTATCCCGCAGCTGGGTGCAAGAGGCGGCCTGCGACCAGCCCTGGGTTTGGTACCCAGCCTAGCTGCCAGCTAGGCGGTGCCTCTACTCTCTTTCAGAGAGATCACCTCGCGAGCCCCCGGCTGCACAGACGCGCAATCGTAGATTGCCGTGGCCTGTGTGTGTGTGTCCAGGTGGTGACGGCTGCGGCAACTCGACTGGGCCCGCACCCCCACACAAACTCCGCCTTGTATTTGACAGACCTTCGCTCGCCCCCTCTTGTAGACCTGCAAACAAAACCAGCACAAACCCCACTCAATCACTCCTCATACATGACAGCGGCCCCCATGCGTTCTGATGTCACTGTGGCCCGGCATCCAGAGCGCATCCCCGTTACGCTTGCACAAACTAGAGCCCAATTGCGGCAAATTGTTGGCTGGATGAGGTGATGCCTGGCTGTCAGCCATCGGCGCCCAAGGAGGCGGGTGCCCATGCCTGGCAGCGGCCAGTTGCCATCTACGGCGCAGGTGCATCTTTGCAGGCATGTGCCTGGAAAACCCCCGATCTGTTCTTGTGACTGCCCACGATATGGCCCATGCATGTCTGCAGTCCAAGCATATTTTATATTTCTCTTCAATTCTTGTCCCGTGTTTGCCTGGCTTGGCTTGGTTTGAAAAGGAATTTGACTAGTTTCTCCAGCAGGGTGTTGATATGCAAGCTGCAAAGAGTTGATGAGATGCAAATGAGTGCAAACAGAATTGCTTTGCTGGCGCACCTCGCGCAGTTGCCCTGTTGTCAGGGCGCACCCGGTGACTGCTTTATGCGTGAACGCATGAGGCAGCGGAGTTGGAGGGCACGTTTGAGGTGGCAATTGTTGCCTCTCAGCCCTGTCCAGTCCAGGGCCCCACTCTGCACACAGTCCAGCACCGCTACCTGTTGGTCTGCGGGACATGCAGATTGCTGTGTGCAGCTGCTGTTGGCTGGATGGGCTTTGACGATCCACATATGCCTCGTGGCCGCCGCAACCTGCCTGTGCGTCTGCACAATGTTGATCCCAGTCAACGCCTGTCGCAGCATTTGAATTCTGAGGTTGATTGTGTCAGGAGATGGAGAGGCAGGGTTTAGGGTTTCACACTAAACCCGGAAACCTTGCCGATTGACTTTGGTGTGGTGAATTGGCGCGCACAAGGGATGCTTGTTGCATCGGGCCGTTTGCTCCCGTGTGCAGACGCCACTCCGGCACATGCATCTCAGACACCTCGGCTTTGGCTGCAAACGGTGCCCCCGTCGGCAATTTCCTTTTTCTAAAGGATGGTTTGCTGCATGCTACCCTGATTTGCTCGGCGTGCACCGACAATGGGCAAAGGAGCCACCCTTTGCTATATATCTGCTCCAACATCACCACAGGGATTTCTCTGTATTCATGTGAAGTTGCAATCAGCAGGGTGTGTGGTCACACAGCCAGCAGAGAGCGAGCAAGCCTCGTGGTGCAAGGGTTGTTGATTTGCCTTGCTCAACCCTGATGTGTGTAAAGCGGGAGCACTGAATTGACCACGGCCGAAGCCTGTGACCCGCCACTGGCAAGAAAGAAGGCAGCGAGGCGCCTGTATGATGCTTCCATCAGCCCTGGAGCAAGGCTCGATGCGAATCTGAAAGGCGAGGTAGGGTGTTGATTACAAATTACGTCAGCTCGGCCACAACAACAGCTGTGTCGCCCAGCCACTCGACTGCATGAGGGATGGGGTGATGGCTTAGTGGGGATGTACGCCGTGCAGCAAGCATGCGGCAGGTCATTCACAGCTGCAAGGGTGGTGGCCGGCCACAAGGTGAAGGTGGGCCCTGCGGAGTTGAAGAGCTTGCAAGTAACGGCAAGTTTCCCAGCAGCGCCGACTGGAGCTGCTGGGACGGTGTGACGAGCGGCATAATGCCGTTCCCGCGCGCCACTTGCTTGACGGATGCATGATTTAGACAGTGGTGCTGGCGCTTGTCGCAGGGCGCCCTATGCGAGGCGCTGGTGCCAGGTTGCGCCTGGCCTGCATTCCGTCGGCGAGTGCCGGAACCGTTACGTGAAGCGCTTGGAAAATCGATGAGATGCAGCTGCATGACGCGAACAGCCAGGAATTAGAGCACGGGGACAGAGCGTCCGCGCGCGCTGCTGCGACGCGTTGCTCAGGCAGCAGGACAGCGCGCCACCGCACTGCATGTTCGTTAACGGACTTCCTAATTAAACGGCAGGACATGACATCGCATATCCGTCCAAAGCGACAAGACCCGTGTGGGAGCCCGAAATTGCAGCGTGAGCGCAAACGCAAGACAGGGCTCTTGGAACCTTGCAGCGGCTCAAGCTGCGGTGCGTGGGGGCTCTACGTATGCGCGCGGCCCGCGCTCAAGGCGCTCGCAGCCGGCCATCGCTGGTGCGTTGTGCGTGAGACGACGTCACACGCTGTCATTGGAGGGGGAAGTTGGGCGGCGGCGCTGGCGCACCAATGTGGGAGCAGCCACGCCTCAGGAAGGTGCAGACAGCGGATGACGCCCGTCGAAGCTTTATGTAAATGCGTGGGTGCGGCGGTGATATGTGCGTGTCGCAGGCGATGGCTCACACACGCGTGCACACGCCGTTTCAGAATCGTTGCGCCAATACAACATGCGACGCCGCAGCGCGTTCCCCAGCAGGTGCGGACGCGCCTGATATATAGCTTGGTTTGAGTTGATGTGGGATGACTGCCGTTTGAGACCGTGAAAGATTTGAAAAGCCTGGGGAGACAGACGTCAACAATGCTTGGCCAAAAGTCAGGCTGCGACCCGGAGCGCGGCGCGGCCCGCACGCCTGACCCTGGGGCGAGCGCGGGCCGGCGCAGAGCACGGGGGTTGGCCACCGTCCGCCCCGCCTGCGCCCCAGGCGTCAGCAAAAGCAATGCAGGTGCAAGGAGGCTTGCCGGAAGTTGAAGGATGGGACCAATGGTGCCGTACTGGCCCTTGCAGGCTATGCGTTGGGGACGCGCAAAGCGGCAAGCTGGGCTTGGCTTGCCGCAACGCTCACAAGTGCTGAGAAGCTCTCTCACAGCAAACCCAAATTCCCAGCGCCCGCACCACAGCCCCGGGTGCCAATGGAAAAGAGTCCACTGGCTCAAGCTTGGATCAAAAATGCGACGAAAAGGCGCAGTGAGCAAAGGACGGGACCGAATGCGCAGGACTGCACAGGGGTCCAATCGCACCCGTGCAAGCACCCGAGCGGGCAACGCCGCCCAAAGTGCGGACGCTCCCGCATGTGGCGCAGGCCCGCCCCCTAGCTGTGGGCGCCAGTGTGCGCCCCTGACAGCTCCGACTTGGCCATGCCCTCGCACAGCACGCGCAGCCCCGCGCCCCGCAGCCGCTCCACCACGCTCTTCACCTCCTCTGGCGCCGGCGTCGGCACGCCCTCCAGCGGATATTTCAGCCCCAGCGCCTCCCACTTGTTCTTACCGTACAGGTGGTAAGGCAGCAGCTCCACCCCCGCCAGCGTCGGCTGCTGGACCGCCCAGTCCGCGAACAGTCCGACGTCGCGGTCGGAGTCCGTGTGGCCAGGGATGAGCACGTAGCGCGCCCAGAACGGGATGCCGCGCTCCGCCAGCTCAGCAGCGAAGCGGAGGGCGCCCAGCTGCTTGAGGCCCGTCATCGACAGGTACCTGCCATGTGGCGGTTTCGTGGCGATCACAACGGGCAGAGGTTTACGATGGGGCCAACAACAGGGCCGCATCCGCAAAGTGTGTCAAGGGAAGGCGTGCATGTGTGGGCTGACTAAGCATGGGCCCTGCAGAGCCCAAGGGAGGGTGGGGTGCTGATGCTCTACACACAGCCTTTGACCGCGCCTGCTGACCTTACTCCACAGCAGACATACAAGCCTGCTGTGAAAAACATTTGAAGCCTCAGCCGAAGCCTCAGCCGAAGCCTCAGCCGAAGGTGCCAGCTGAGCCATTCCGCAGACTCTTGGTGCAAAGCCCAGCATGAGAACCCTGGGGCATCAAAAGCCCTCGACCCACTTGTCTGGGTCGAGCGACTTGATGCAAAACAGGACGCCATCCGTGTGGGGGAGCACCACGTCCCAGTTCTTGTGCTTGGTGCCCTGCCCCGTGGTATCGAGCGTGGTCGTGAGGCCCATCGCATGCGCCTCCCTGAACAGCGCGGCCGTGAACTGCGGCTGCAGCAGCGGCTCGCCGCCGCTGCACGTGAGGCCGCCATGGGAGGACTTGAGGTAGGGCAGCACGCGGCGGATCTGGAGGAATGCGCGCGCGTGCGTGTGTGTGTGTGAGTGTGAGTGTGTGTGTGAGCGAGTGTGTGTAAGCGTGTGTGTATGAGCGCGTGTGAGGGGGAGGTGTAGGTTGTGGTGGTGCGGATGCTGATTGCCACACAGTGCGGGTGCACGCGGAGAGTAGTGGCCTGGATGTAGATTGGCGGCCGCGAGAGCAGGCCGGCCGCCCGGCCTCGCTCGCAGGCCCACCGCCTGGCCGCACACCCGCAGGCCGCACACGTGCACAGGCGCGCTGCTCGGCAACAAACGCGCGTCAGCGAGCGCCTGCCTGCCGCGCCGCACCTGGCTCGCAACGTCCTTGCTGGACACCATCTCGCCGCCATGGACCGCCCCTGCGCTCGCGTGGGGGGAGAGGAGAGGTGCACCCGCGCTCGGCCGACGCAGCAGCAGCAATCCTTGGGCAACGTGCCACCACCACCACTCGCAGCAGCAGCAGCAGCTGCAGCAGCAGCTGCAGCAGCGGCGGCAGCAGCAGCAGCGGCCTTGGCTGCTATCAAGGCAGCCGACTTCAGGGCATCAAAGCCCACTTTAAAAGACCCGCATAGCAGAACTCGCAGCCGCAGTGGTTAGCACAACTGGGGCCGCGGCTGGAGGCGGAGCGGCTGGGGACGGCGTGAGCGCGCGCGGCTTGCAGCGGCTCACAGGTGTCTGGGTTGCTGCAGAACGTGCACCGCATGGCGCAGCCCTGGGTGAACACAATGAAGCGCACGCCGGGGCCGTCCACGGTGCTGAAAGACTCTGTGATCAGAGTTGTAAGAGGAGGGGTAATTTAGTAATGTGGGTCAATGGTGATGGAGGACGGGAGAACATTGGATGCGCGGGGGCAATCACTGTTGATGGCGCCACCGAGCAGCATGCATGCGCCCCTTCTGCCGGCGCAAGGATGGTGAACACCGGCATTCGCTATGATTTTATGCTCTTGTGAGCGCACCTGTTGAGTGTATGTGGCCAAACACCTGCGGGGCCGTAGGCGCAGCGTGAATAGCGGGGGATGAGCCGAAAGAACGTCGCAGCAATTTGAAAGTGCTATCCAGTCAGCAGCTGGCTGACTACATGCAGGTTGTAAGAGAGGAGGCAGGAGAGCACCAGGCAAGCAGTCTATCCTGTATCAAGGACAAACCTCCGGAATGTCCTGCGCTGGGTCGATGATGCGGCGCTTGAGCGGCAGCACTCGCACGCGTTGCTGCTGTTGCTGCGGCGCCACCGACGGTGATGCCGTCGCGGCGTCCCCAGGTTCCGACGGCTTCGAAGCTGGCTGCACGTAATAACGCCTCTGTTCATTGAATTCAAAAGGCTTGGCTGCTGCACTGCTCGCCAGGCTCGATAGGCTGCGTGTTCCCGCCCAGAGGCCAGGCCCGAGCCGCTGCAGGGCTGCCACTGCCAAGGGATACATGCTGGTAGACGTGAGAGCCCGAGCGATCTCCATGGCGCCACTGCGGGGCCTTCCGCAATCAGCCTCCCTAGACGACTGCTGACGTTCGTTATAAACCAAGACGTGGGCGATTTGTAGATTCGAGCCTTTCTCAACCACGGTAGTTCAAGAACTGATGAAGAGAAGGAAGTTGGCGCCGCCACCTGACACTGGACTGGGACTCGACTCATCGACTGATGGATTGATGCGCACAGTCATCATTCCAGGCGGCGAAAGACCTGCTTTGAAATCTTCAGCCTCCCGTGCAACAGCAGCATCGGCAACGTGCGGCATAAGCGGCAAAGATAGCAGGGCGCGCGTCTTCCCAGGGCCGGCGTGCGCGACGCCCCGGCCCCCCCGGACG